AGATCGGAGCCTGGAGCTGCTTCGGATTCTGTGTCTCCCTCTCTCTCTGTCCTTCCCCTGCTCGTACTGTCTCTCTCTGTCTCTCAAAAAACGAATAAATGTTAAAAAAAAAAAATTTTTTTTTTAAAGCAACGGAATTGATGGGAATGCGTTCCATGTAACCCAACGTACACAGAATATTATTTCAACCCGTGAGGACCGTTACGGCACTGTTAACAAGCTACTTGGTGTTCTTTTCCAGCACGAAGTCCTGACGCCCCGTGTGTGTCTCACACTCCCGGCACGTCTCAGCTCGTGCTGGCCACGTTTTGGTGCTCGACAGCACGAGTGGCCACAGACACGGCCCTGGGCCACATAGGCCCAGGTCGCCCCACCAGTTCACAGGAGGCCCGGGGGAAAAGGCGCGTAGGAGGTGGCGCTGGGAGATGCGCAAGGCAAAACCCCGCTGCGGGGATGCTTTGGCACAAACAACCCGGCTTCTGCAACAGAGAGCCCGGCCAGGAAAGGGGGACAGCAAAGGACCGGAGACTGAAAGGGAACGGCAGCTTGAACGATACACGGCAACCTAACCGAAGCCCACGCACGTTACACAGATCCCGACCAAACGGATGGCCGAGGAAAAAAAGGGGACATAGCTGGAAGACGGACCAACGACCGAACACGTTACTCAGAAATTAGGACCGGGGCGCCGGGCTGGCTCAGGCGGTGGAGCATGTGACCCTCGATCTTGGGGTCGTGGGCTCGAGCCCCGCGTTAGGCATAGAGGCCAGTTAACGTGAATCAGTTAAAAAGTGAAAAAAAATTGCGATTCATCTTTGCGTTGTGATGATACTGTTACAACTAAGTTTCTTAGGAAGAGTCACCTTACGGAAGTAACCCGCCAAGAGACGCATGGATGCGACGGCTCAACGCCTGGGCGTTACCTCACTACGCTGGGGGCAGTGGCATTGTCAGAGGAAGGTAAGTGACAAGAATCCATTGCTAGTGGACACTCCCTTGCAGGAAGGTGAAGGAAGTTCCTCCGACAGGTAGGATATTATACAGGAAGGCATCTGAGGAACACAAGGAGGAGAGAAAAACAGAAAGGGCACAAGTGTGGGCACATACGACAGATTAGCCTCCGTGCGCGTCCTCAAGGCCATAGGGGAGGACTGAAACACAGATCCTGACACCGTCCGCTTCTCGGGGACTATGAAGGGACAGAAACGAAGACAGGTTTCCACTCTTCACCCCAAGTGGCAAAAGTGACCACCAGTATGTCACGTGTTTACAGTGAAATCCAGAGAAACCACTAGGAAAACCACGCACAGCGATACACTCGGGAGACCACATGCAAATCTGCACAGAATCCTGTAACACGTTTTAAGTGACCCACGGGAAACGGAGGACACAGAGGGAACAAAGTCCCAGCACAGCATGATTACCGGAAGCGTGAATAGTCTAAACGTGCCAATTAAGAGGCAAGATGGCAAAGTGGATTAAAAAACAACCCAGTTGTAACCTGTGTATGGGAACGTCGCTTCCAATTCAACCACATTGGTTGAAAAGTCAAAGGGAAGAAAAGGACACAGCATGCAAATGGTAACTTGCAAAAGCCAAGCAGGTATGTCATACCCTCCCCGCGGAGCCAGGAAAACTAACACAACGGAAAGATCTTTGACCAGGAGGACGGAACTGCCCTAAAGGTGTGTGCACCAGACAAGAGCCTCCCAACTGTGCAAGAGAGGCAGACACACCCCACAGCGAGAGCAGGCCTTCGGGCCTTCTGGTCGCAGGGCCGCACGGGGCACCTGACGGAGAACCAGACAGACAAGCAGCAAGGATCAGTAGTGAGCACCACCAGAGAACAGACTCTCACAGACTTAAGAGGACATTCTGCCCACCAACAGAATATACTTTTTTTTAAGGAACCCCAGAATATTCACCAAGTTAGACCCTCCCTAGCAGGGGCCATAAAACAAACCTCAACATATTTGGAAGTGAAATCACACAGAGTATGTTTTCTGACCACAATAAAGTCCAGTTAGAAATCAGCAACAGAAGGACAGCTCAAAAGTCTCTGAATACCTGGGAATGAAACTCAATACTTCTAAAGAAGCCAGGAGCCAAAGGGGGAGTCTCAAAGGAAATAAAAAAAAAAAAAAAATTTGAATGGTGAAAAGAAAAAACACAACATAGCAAAATATGTGGAAAGCAGTTAAGGCAGTGCTCAGAGGGAAACGTATAGCACTGAGTGCTGATGTTAGGAAAGAAAACGGCTCAGATCAATAGTGTAAGTTGCTACCTCAAGAAACTAGAAAAGGAAGAGAACCCAAAGAAAGAAGAAGGAAGCAAATTTAAAAGATGAAAGCAGTAATCAATGACATTGAAAACAAGAAAACATAGGGGCGCCCGGGTGGCTCAGTCGGTTAAGCGCCCGACTTCAGCTCAGGTCACGATCTGGGGTGGGTTCAAGCCCGACGTCAAGCTCTGTGCTCACAGCTCAGAGCCTGGAACCTGCTTCTGATTCTGTGTCTGCCTCTCTCTCTGCCCCTCCCCTGCTCACGCTCCCTCTCCCTCTTTCTCTCTCAAAAACAAACATTAAAAAAAAGAAAACAAGAAAACAGAGACCAGCAATGAAATAACACACTGGTTCTTTGTTAGTAATGACATAGCTGCAGCCTGGCCTGAGCCCCAGGACCTTGCTCCTAAATGCCAGCATCAGCCTCTGCCCTGGTGTCCCTGCTCCCACACTGCCCCCTACGGTCCATTCCCCTCTCGGCCACCAGAGCTAGGATTCTTAACTGTAGGTGAAAGCGTGTCACTCCTGTGCTTAAACGCTCCAATGGCTGGCCACAACAGACAATGAACACCAGTTCCGTACCTCTCCATGATGCCTGGAGGCTCCCACAGTCTTGGTTCCTCCCACCTTCTTTCCCTCCACTCCACCCCACTGGCTTTCTCCCCAGACTACAAATGCGCCAGGTATGGCCCTGCCCCAGGACCTTTGCACTTGTCGTGCCTGTGCTCAGGACACTGTTACCCAAATACTTGTGTACGTATACATGATACGTATGATGGAATATTATTCAACCACAAGAAGGAAATCCTGACACCTGCTACAACGTGGATGGACCCGGAGGACGCTGTGCGCAGTGACAGAAACCAGACACAGAAGGACACGTCCTATGTGACCCCACTCACTGGAGGTCCCTAGAAGAGTCCCGTCCACAGAGACAAAGAGTAGATGGTGGGACCCAGGGGTGGGGCAGGGGGCAGGCAGTCAGTGTTTCATAGGGACAGAGTCTCAATTTGGGGAGATGGAAAGTTCTGGAGACAGATGGTGGGAGTAGCTACACAACAGTGTAAGTATGTTTGATGCCCCTGAGCTGTGTGCTTGGGAAGGTTTAAGATAGTAAGTTTTCCGTTATATATATTTTCCCTCTCTCTCTCTCTCTCTCACATACACACACACACACACACACACACACACACACAGAGGCAAGGTAGGGTAGGGCTTGGCAAACACTTCCTGCAAAGGGCCAGACGGTAACTATTTTTGGCTTTGCAGGCCACACACTCTCTTTCCCAACTAATCAACTCTGCCCTTGTGACACCAAAGCAGCCACAGATAACCGTTGAAGAGATGGGCGTGGCTGTGTGCCAATAAAACTTTATTTGCCGAAACAGGCAGACGGCCGGATCTGGTCTGTGGACTGCAGTTTGCCGAGCCCTGATGCGGAGTACATCCCTACGTGCGCTTTGCTTCTGTGCGTGTCTATGCCTGCTTATGCGCAGAATATCCCTGGCAGGTTACAAGAGGACAGGTCTCCAGAAGGGACAAGCGGGTGACCAAGGGAAAGAGAAGAAGGGAGAATATTCCTTCGGTACTGTCCGGACTTTGACCCATTTGAGATTATGACTATTCACCAAACTCAAAACGGCACAAAAAAGAGAGAAAGGCAACTTGAAATCTCCACTGTCGGGGCTCAGAGACGGTCCCCCGAGTGAGCGTGTGGCAGAGACCGAGGGCCTCACCCAGACGGCGCCGGCCGGACAGCCGCAGGGCCCGGCATGTCACTCACCCGAGCCTGACGTTGGCATACAGCTCCCGTGCCGTCCGCGTCTCACGCTTGCGCAGGATTTCCGCATCATACCAGAAGCCACGCTCCTTGGGGTTGTCGGGGTTATAGTTGAGCATGACCACCTGGCCGACCTCTATCTCCTGCCACTGCAGAATGGTTCGGGCACGGGCCCGCACGTCGCGGGGACTCATCTGGACCACTCCATTCTCCGGGTAGCTAGGAGGAAAACCCCATGCTCAGATCCCGGGGGGAACACCCGACTTCACTCCCCGGGGAAGGAGATAGAAGCCGACGCAGAAAAGGCTGTGCCAGCATGGGTTTGGGTCACTTTGATCACGGTGGCCTGTGAAGTCCCCTCCCCAACAATCTCCTTGGCGGGTATGGAAAATACACAGCCAGAGAAGACACACCCCGATTACAGAAGGTGTTGTGGGTTCAGCTGTGTGTCCCCCAAAAAGACTTGTTGGGAGTAGTAATCCCTGGTACCTGGAAAAGAGAGCTCACTTGGAAATAGGGTCTCTGCAGATGTCATCAAGTTAAGAGGAGGTCAGCACTGGGGGGGGGACCCTAAATGCATTGACCGGTGTCCTTTTT